CCCTTCCAGAACTCCCCCTTTCCTCTCACAGGACAGGGCCCTTCCAGTTAGACGTGGGAGGCTGAGGACACCTGTCCCCGGGACGATGCCCTGAGCGTGTGGGTCTCAGTGCCCAGGCAGGCCCTGCTGCGGCCGGGTGAAGAGGCCTCAGGCGACGCCTCGACCCCACCGCAACCACACGCCACCGGGTGTCAGCAAAGCCCACCTGCCTCCTCGTGTCAGTCACCCCGATGCCATGTGGTGTGCTCGCCTGCTGCCATGGGCTGCTGCCACCGGCCCCCAGGACACAGGCTCAGCAGCTCGCTGCGGAGGGCCACTTGTGCCGAAGCCGACAGCGCTCTGGGGTGGCCTCACTTCCTTTCATGTCCGGAGACCACACCGATGCTGAGCAGGACAGCAAGGAGCCGCTGCCCGAACCGAGCAAGCAGGGAGGCGGTGCCTGGACCCCGGCGACCTCGGGGAGGCGGCACCTGGACCCCGGCCAGCCCTGAGCTTCCAGGGAGCTGGTCGGCGGAGGAGGGGAACAACCGTGTCGTGAAACTTCTGACAGAGAAGAGGGCAGCGTCTGGCCGAGGCAGACCCATAACAAGCTGATCCTCGCCTCGTGCAGGCAGCAGCGGCCGCTGAGCGCCTGCCCTAGGGTCGGACCCGCCTGCTCCTTCTCCGTCCTCGTGTCCCGTGTGGGCCTCCTGCGTGGGCTCTCCCTGGGCCTGCGGTGTTGAACAGACAGCCGCGCACCCCGGCAGTGGCTGGCTCAGCGCTCCGGGGGAGACAGGTCCGAGTGGTCGGCCTGGGAGCAGTGCCTAAGCAGGAAGGCCGACCATGTCACACGAGAAGGGGACTCTGTCCGGGCAAAATGGAGCTCGGCACCCACAGGAAGGAGGGATGTCACTGGCCCCACAGGGTCCCCCCTTGGAAGCTGCTTCTCTGGCCATCCAGTGCCACCCCTCCTGCAGCCAGCTGGAAGGCCGAGGGGCGCTGTTCTGGGGGACCCCTCCGGGACGCTCGGCAGACCCGCTTCTGGGCGAGAGTGGGAACGCCTGCCACCGCCACTCCAGGTGAAGCAGAGATGCTGTGGGCAACGGGAGGGCGAGGGTGGGCCGGGGACACGCTAGCCAGTGTGATGGGCTCCGGGGGACCAGGGACGGGAATGGCGGGCTCTGTGTGTTTTCCAGGGCAGGGGCAGAGACGAGGCAGAGGGATCAGAGGGGCGGCACTCGCACTGCTCAGCCGTGATTGGCTCTACAGGACACACATTGGGCGTGGCCTCTGCTCCTCGAACCCCAGATGTGCCCTGAGTGAATCTCTCCTGCCTCGACTGCCCCGTCTCAGTTTTCTGTGACCAGTGACAGAGCGGACTAGTACCTAAGAGCCAAGTGACCTAGGAGAAGCACAAGAGCCCCACACGGCAGCTGGCCTCCTGCGCAGCACGCCGGGACCTGTCTCTGGACCAGCCAGCCCCGTGCCTGTGCCAGGCTGCCTGAGTGCCACCTCTGAGCCAGTGCAGGCTCAGACTGCCCCCCATCCTCTGCTCCTGCCCCGGCTCTGACTGACCAGGCTGGCTCTGCGGGCGACCGCCTGCCTGCACTGCTCTTCAGGAGCGGCGGGGCTGCGGCCTGCGGTCTCCTGTTCGGTGGTGGTGAATTATTCACGGCACGCCTCCTGCACGGCTGCTGGGGTTACCTGCGGCCAGTGAGTTAGGCTGGGACCTTGGCAAGTGGGGCTGAGCGCTTTGACACTGGGTCAGAGATCAAACGGTGTCCCACAAAGCCACGTGCCCTGCAGGGTCCCCGGCATGGCATGGAAGCCCGGGGGCTGGGCAGCCTTTTGGGATAACCTCAGGAGAGGCTGGCCGCTCTGTAGACAGGGCCCAGACAGGGTGCAGGACAGTGGCCAGGGGCCCTGCAGAGAAGGCCCACCCAGGACAGACGGAAAGCCGCAGGCACAAAGCAGGGGTCTGACAGGCCACTCCACCGCCTGGCCCTTGGGGCTGCTTTTTTTTGTTCAATAGGTTTTTGCTGTAGAGCACGCACACTTGCCAGAGACAGAGACACTGAGGAGAAATCCCCCTGTGGGGGCGGGGGCGCCACACCACAACCCCTTCTCCTCCAGAGATCTTGGACAAGCACGCACACGTTGCCTAGAGTGAGTTTCAAGCCACCGGGTCTGGGACTTGAACTGTGGTCAGCCATGTGGGAGTCCCACTGGCCTCTCAGGGTCTGGGGTAGGGCTCTAGGTCTGCAGGACACAACTCCTTGTCACGGTATCACAGACCCCGGTGAGGACAAGCCTCCCTGGGCTCCTTGAAGAGGCAGAGGGCAGACACCTCCATTTGCAGCCTCCGCCTCCTGGCCACAGACGCCCGACTGTCCCGCCCACCCTGACCGAGCCCTCCCATCCACCACTGATGAGGGCCAGGGTGCCGAGGGCAGCAGGGCCTTGAGGGTGAGGCAGTGGACAGATGGGAAGGGCTGATGTGGCCCCGAGCCCTACGCCGAGGCACTCGGCCCTCAGCCCACGGCTGGACGTGACTCCCGAGGTGAGAGGCCCTCTGCTCGGAGGCCCTCCTCTGAGGGTGGGCAACTACAAGGCAGACCTCGTGTGGGGACGTCCCTACAGACAATGGCTGTGAGCTCGGAGTTAGGGAGCAAACCCAGTGAGCTGCAGGTCACTCAGCCTGGGGTCCACCAGCACACAGGCGCTCAGGGCCCGCAGGCTGGGAAGGGCCTTGCGTCCAACCAGTCAGACAGACACATGGACGGCTGAGGGCCCGAGTCCAGGCCAAGAAGGGAGCCAGGTGGGGCTCTGTGAGTCAGGAGCTGGGCTAGTGGCCTGAGCCCCTCGCCTGCAGCCTCGCCCCTGCGAGCCCAGGCCATGTGACACTTGCCTCTGGAAAGTGAGAAGAGGGCCTGGTGGCAGGTCGCCGGCGGGGCGGACGTGCAAAAATAGCTCCCCAGCGCAGAGCGAAACTCTGTGGTCCCCGTGCTGCCGCGAGAGCGCTATCTCCACGTCTGATTACTAGGTGCAGATCTATTTTTACCTAGCTTGTGGTCCACCAAACCGAAAAAGAAAACAAAGTCCCAAAAACCCCTCTTTTAACGGCCTCCCTCACACTTCACAGACACTCGCCTTCCCCAGAATACTACATCGCTCAGCTCTCGCCACGGGAAGTGCGTTTTCATCGGTCGCTGTTCCTACACATCCCTGGCCTCGCCCGGATGGCCACCCCGGGCCAGCCCGCAGCAGTGGGGACGGAGCGAGCTGCACTCTGCCGTGTCCCATTCACCACCCCAGGCTGCACTAGCAGGCGAGGCCAGGGCGGAAGCGACTCCACACAGCCGTGGGGACACGGCCAGGAGCACAGAACAAC